TGTCCTGTCCTGTCCTGTCCTGTCCTGTCCTGTCCTGTCCTGTCCTGTCCTGTCCTGTCCTGTCCTGTCCTGTCCTGTCTCTGTGGGAACAGTCTGATCTCTCTATCTGAAGAACAAGTGGGCGTGGCCAAGACCTGAGCCTTGGGTCGAGCAGAGGACAAACTATTTGGCATCAGAGAAAGACCAGATGCAGGGAGGAGGTGACTCGGCTGCAACACGACAATAAAATGGTCTTTTTGCTCYGCTGACCTGATGGGATTTTCCTGGTGGGACACCGAGACCTCTTCTCAAACAGTGAGTTGTTTCTCACCATGACTACATATTACTGATTACATTGATGTGTTGTGTTTAAAAAAGTGTGTGTGTGTGTGTGTGTTTGTGTGTGTGTGTGTGAGTGTGTGATTAATCCGAGAGTTATGTGATGAGTGTTGCAGTCCAACAGATCTGCTTTTTGTTTCTTTTACTGTTTCCCTGCATCAGTTTGTAAATCTGCACGTTGCTGACCCTGATGGTTTTAATTAATTTTGTTGCACCAAATTAAATGAATGATTAATTAAATGAATTTATATGTATGTCTTAATTAGGATCTTTTGAGTGTGTGATTAACTGGAGTGAACATTAGTTTTATTAAATGTTGCTGCCGTTTATTTTGAAATTTGTAAAAGTTTAACTTTAGTTTTTCTTTGTTAACAGATCTACAGATCCTACAGACAGGTTTGGGTCATGTTGTGGGTCAGGAGTCTTTGACCAGCTGTTCCGATCCACTGGCCCAGCAGGAGGTAATGAGACAGGAAGACAACACGTGGAGTTACCCAAAACCAGTAAAAGGTTGAGGCCATGAGCCAAGCTGCACCCAGGCAGCCTGCAGCAGAGGGYGGAGGAAACAAGTCCTCTCTACCTTCCAGGAAGAATTAACCTGAACACACCTTCAGGTAACTGGGACAAACACAGGTGCTTCATTCACCACACACCKCGACAAACATACAGTATCTGTGATAAAGTACATTTGATCAAATTGTTGACACAAAACTGTCTTTTATTTCARGATAACCTTTATTTTACAGATTTCCTCAAACTTAGACAACAAAGGTAAGACTTTTTYTTGGTTCTTTTCAGCTAAAATAAGTTCCTACAAGTTAAAATCCAACCTGATTCGGAACGGTTCAGGTTCTGGTCCAGAGTTTTCTGGTCTGGACTCTGCTGCCCCTAGTGGACAGGAGCAGTGCAGCACTCAGATCCAGGTGCTCCAGGTTGTCTGCTGCCAGGAGGAACTGCTGACTCATTTGTATACCTACAAGAACCACATCTTCTTGATGAAAAGAATAGGCCTATTAGAAGAAGGTGGAGAGGAAACATACTGTACYTCCCAGTCCAGAGGAGTCATGACGTTAATTCATGAGTCAGTCCCATTTCAAGTTCAAAATACTGTCAAAGACAAAAAAGAAAGATTCTTGATTGTTGTAAGCTGCTCAGTTAATGTGAAACTGATCACTTTGAAACAAAAAATATTACAGTCCACACGGCTCAAAATAAACTGACAAACATTAAACCTAATGATATTCTAAAATTTCAGTTAGTTTTAGTTTTGTAAAAATATTATATAGTTTTAGTTATTGTTTTTTCATTTTATTACAGTTTTTATTTATTTCAGTTAACTAAAATGTTTTTTTCAGTTTTCGTTATTTAGTCTTTAGTTAACTATAATAACCCTGCTGTGGTGGCCATCTTGAATAAGTTGACTCTAAAGCGCGTTCAATGTTATTTTGTGAGATTTGCATTAAAATGCATGTGGTTTGTCTGAGATATTTTGCTAACAGAGTCTTGTCTTTTCTTTCCAGGGTCTGGACCCACATGACTCAGTGGTTGWGTCTCCCTGCTGGTCTGGTGCTCTTTGGTTTTGTGGAGTGAGTTTCTGCAGTGTTTCTTGTTTTTTGTGTCTTGCTGTTTGCATCATTTGTGTGTTTGCAGCCTGTTGTATAAGGTCACTGTGAAACTTAAAAACTCTGTTTTTCAAAACCAGAACTGTCTTTGAACAACTATCATGACACGACAATTAATCRYCAACAGAACAGGTCAAAAAGAAAAGAATCATGATGCTGCTAGTCCAGTCAGGGTCCAGAACCTGAACCAGACTGAAACCCTGTCGGGCCTTCAGAATAAGCAGAAAGACAACATAAATGATTCATCAGGAAGATTTTGTAACTTTGTATATCTTCTCATGATGATGTGGAACAAAAGATCATAAAATATGGAGATGYTTTTATAAAAAGCTTTTAATCCATCAGAGGTAGACCTCCACACCCTAAAACTAACTTTTTAAAGTGATTCAGATGCTTCAGAACACAATCTCAAAGTAGAAAATTCACTTTTTTCAACTTTCTGCTGATAAATGTTCAGTTTTTTTAGTCGCGTTAAAGATAAAACCATGATCCAACAGGTTACTGGATTCATTTCAAGGAGAAGAAAGAGTTAAAGCCCAACCAACTTGTGAACTGTGAGGCAAAAACGGCAGAGAATGGTTTAGTAGATGAGGCGGAGGAGGACGAGTCCCTGAACACAGACCCTAAAATTAACCCTGATCCCTTATATTAACCATTTTTTTAAATGTAAAGAATTTGCGAGAACTAACCYTCCCAGACCCTGAATTTAACCAATATAAGCTATGTACAGCCTATACCTGACCCCAGTATCTCAAATTAACCATTATCCCTGACCACAGACCCTAAAATTAACCATTAATCCTGATCCCTCATGTTAACCTCAGACCCCCGACCCAAAGAGCCCTAAGTGACGCAACCCAGAAAAGCCGCGCGTGGCAAGGACAGACCCCCCGCATCAACGTATTGACGCTTGGTCAGTCCCTGCTCAAGCGTCAATGTGTTACGAGTCCGACATGAGAATGTGTTGCAAAGTCTGGTCCATAATTCTCCACAGTCCTTCAGGTTTGTTTCAGCTCTGTGGGACCAGAACATCCACAGTGATGAAGGTGAAGAGTCGGTCCTTCCTGATCTCTTGGACAGTGTAGTTCAGAGTACTGAGTCCATCCTGATCCAGAGTCTTCTGACTTTCTTGCAGTTTGGCAACGTTCTTCAGATTCTGCTCGTTGTGAACGTCCCGTTTATGTTTGATCATTTTGTAACGTCCAACTATGTGGTCCGGTCGAGATATGGACTTTATACGAAACATGATCCGGTTGTAGATGTCGTCGTCCTCGCCCCCCCCAGCCCCAGTAGGTGTTTGAGAAGCCATTGACTTTCAAGAACTGCTCCTTGGATAGTGAGGTGACCCCTCCGAAGATGTGATTGTAGGGTAATTCAAAGTTAAACTTGTCTATAGCTACAGCTAAATGTCTCGGGGTGTCGAAGCACCGGTACAGGTTTCGATCATCTAAGGGCACCAGGTCTAC